ATTAAATGCTCAGATTAGCTCTGCTCTTCAGAGAGGATTCAAGTGTTGTTTTCTTTTTTGAGAGCTTAAAAATGATTCTAAAAACCAGGCCTAGGAGAAATAAAGAAGCCTTCCCTAGTGGTTTTGTTCTGAGAACTAAGGTAACTAAATCTGAACAAGGAAAATGGCATTTAAAAGTTTTTTAAGTGTCACATGTCTAGACTGCAGTACCATGGACTAGATGTATTTATATGCATTACTTTTGATGTGCTGTTACCACCATTACAAAAATGAGCAACTGAGACACAAGGCAATACAGATTTGGTTTCAGTTAAAACACCTGCATCTAAGTGTCTGAAGTGTAGATGGTAACTGCTCAGTGTCTACACTCTCATTACAGCCAATGGAGATAAACAGGGGTCTGAAGAACAACTGAGTTGGACAAATGTAGGATCCAATTTTGTGCTGCATTCCTCCCTGATTGCTCAGTAACACTTCATCTGTTCCTGAGAGAGAACACAGCTAAATCTCTTGAATGCTGACCTATGGGGCCTGTTGCACAGGACATGATCCCCACAATGTTCTCTACTGGTTTCTGTACACACTGCTGTGATACCCCCTGCTGACAATCTGCCCTGATTGTCACCTCCAAAAGAGCACCAAGAGATAGTTTGCTTCAGGTTAGACAAGATGCTTCTGTCACACACAGCAGCAGTTTCATTCAGGGCTCTCTCCTCCTGCTAACAAACTGAATTCATTTTATGGCAAAGAATGGACAAGATGGTAAATGTTCAAAGAGCTTGATTTTTTACTGTCTTTTAGAAGGCACTAGTTCTGTCAAGGCAGAGAGGGAACATCTGAAGAATGGGCCAGAGGTAAGAGGCTTAGTGCTGAAAATGGCTTGGGGGAGGACAGAAGGAAATATATAACCTAGTTTTGTTGCAAAATCAGGAACCATGAAGATCTGTAATGATTTCATATTGCATCACACTTCTGGAGGATTTCAGACCAAGACAAAGGCTGTTCTGACAGTGAAAACACAAGGAATGCAAGTAACAACTTCAACTACCACAGTACTTGATTTCAATCAGGAGGTTGCAACTACAGCCTTTCAATAAACAGAGACACCTTGTGTCTACAGGTAACAGAGCGTGACAATTAATTTCTACTTGGCAGAATACACAGGTCTCACTCAACTCCCAACATGGCAGTGTAGCTGCCAGTTAGAAGCTAGCTCAGTTAGAAGCTAGCATCCACAGCAAAAGTACAAGAAATGCTGCTCTAAACTCATTCCAGGTATCCTCTCCAGACTGCACAGGCAGCTTGACTGAATATGCATATTCTGTATTTAAAATGTTGGAATGATGATGATCAGCCTGACTGGTCACTGCCCCTGGTGTGCATGATTTCCTGAGGTCCATAGCCATGATGAACCAGGCAATGTGCCAAGCAGCAAAGAAAGATTTCAGTCTTTTTTTGTTTCCTATGCCCACAGTGATCAATGCTGGGTTGATTCCTTGAAGAATGCATCTAGGATTACAGCTACCATTTGACCAACCAGTCCACCTCTCACATTGCTCATGAGAGCAACCAGCAGTTTTCTCTACTGGTCATTTGGTATCTCCAGGTGTTCTTCAGCTTAGTATGCAGGCAAGACCATTTTTTTCTTTAAAGAGGAATCCACATCAGGATGACTTCTGTTCCCTTTGAAATGTCTCATATGCTACACAACAGCTGCTTGCTGTCAGCTGCTGAAGGTTATTTGTTAGGCAATTGTGCTAACTGTATTTCTATCATGAGGTTTGGAGAGCTGTCCAGAATTGGGACATTGTTAGTGAAGACCAGAATGGCTTAGTAAGGGCTGAGATTTGGTAATGTATCTGTGAGAAAGTCAGTTATCTGGGCAGGATACTAGTTTAGTATGATTCAGAAGATTATCCCAGCTCCTGTAAAGCAAGCACAAAGGATGTCACAGCTCTAAAGGGACCCTTTAAACATTACAGAATCATTTCATACTCTTTTTCTTTTACCAGTTGCAGGCCTGAGCACTGTGCTTGCTCTCCAAAATCACTACTCTTCTTACTGGTCTTGGAGGTAGCAGGTGAGTTTCAGTAACATATTCTCTAAAGATTAGGTACTGAAAGCTACTACATCTGAAAACTTGTAATTCCTGATGTCCTTGAAAAAGAATACTACTAGCTAGCAGATTTCAGCTTTAGCCATGGGCCTTTCTCATTCACACACATTACCCTCAGGAGACAAACCACAGAAAACATGTTTGACGTTAACTGGGTCTAGACTGGTTTTTCCGTTTCATTTTAAAAATAAGCCAAATTATCTGCTGACAGTTGAACAGGCATAACGCTGAAGGACTATATGCTGAGGATTTCTTCTCTTGATTATTAAATAAGCACTGTTTTGGTCCAAAAGACTATCCAAACCATAAAATTCCTGTAGTACTATCTAGAAAAAAAAACAAACGTGCAAGCTTCTCAAGTTTGTCAGTCTGTGTTCCTTATATCCTGAGCATCTGGGAAAGACCCATACACCAATAAAGCCCTCCGAATCCAGCTCAGCCGCTCCAGTAGTTGCCTTGTTTTTGGCATCAACATCCAGAAGAGCCAATTTCCAATTTTGTGTGCCTGCCCATGTCATTTAAGCAAATATTCAGTGTGGGATATATGATACAAGCATTATCAAATTTCTTAAGCTTTAAACATGAGATTTCATTGTGTTCCCCAAGTGGTACTTACAAAAATATAATGCTGGTGATAGCTGTTTTTTAAGCTAACCTTGGACTCCCTCATCTAGTCCTCAAGCAACAAATTTAAAATTCATACTGCTCAAGTCACCACACTCAGAAAAGATGATTAAGCTTCAGGGAGGAAGAAACACACACATGAAGTAATGGCTCAAGAATTTCACTCCAGAGAGACTCCAAAAACCCTTCAGAGCACAAGCAAAAAGGCCTTTAAATACATTTGTTGATACCAATAGATTAAAAAAAACACAATAAGTGTAACATATCAAGCTTCCTAATTCCAGGTGTGTATTAAGCTGCTTATAGATGGGTAAGTCTGCAGTTATTACCCAAAACTATATTAGAGAAAAAATTTGAGTAACTGATAACTCATTTTAGCAGGTTACTTCTGCAAATACCGCAAAATTCAGCATGAAATAAAATCTGCCAAAAAAAAATTCCCACTGATTATATTTGGACAATGATTCTACTTCTCAACATTTATCTGAATTACTTTCAAATCTGTAATTTCAAACTTCTAATGCTTTATTTTTTCCAAATGCAAAATAGCAGACATATCAAAGCAGTTTGGCAATTAAAAAAAACTAAAAAGACTCCTTCACAACTGTATAAACATCCTCAAATTTTTTGAGTATCATAAAGAGAAATGTCAGGCTAGAGTCACTGACAAGCCAGTTAAAACATGGGCATTAAGCTTCCCCAAGCTCACATTCTAGTTCATACTATCCCATCCTTTCCATCTTCTCACTCACAAGAAAACTCCAGGCAGTAAACAAATACATAGCAACAGGAGTCCTTACTGCAGTGCTAGAGAATAACACGGGTCTTTTGAGAGACAAAGGTTAGTATCTTCTAAGCTTCCCTAAACCATTTTCACTTTTCTATAAATAAAGCTGCTTATCACTGTACTTGAGCTTCAGGAACTTTAATTAGACCAAGAATTCCTCTAATGATTAGATAAAGGCTATTGCAGCTAGCAATCTTAAAAATGGTCTTAAAACCAAAAGGATCTTTCCTCCTTTTTCCTCTTTTCATACATCTTACTTGGGAAAGTAACCAGTGCCAAATGAAAAAAAAAAAAAAAAAGAAAAGCATCCTTTTAAAAGCATTTTTTAACATTCTGCTTACTAAGTGGAGAGGAAATAATTATACACCTCAGCTCATCCTGTAAGTAACAACTTTGCCTTGTAGTTAAGGCCTAAAAATCAGATAAGCACTAAACTTCAAAAGAAAATGTATACCAGATAACAGTTTGAAATGCTGGACTCTCCAGATGCTTTAGAGGAGAGAAGCAGACTTCTGAAGTGTCCTGAGCTCAAACTCAGGACAAGAGCTTAAACGTGCAAGACAAAGATTTACATCTGTAAAAACGTGGAAAGCTAGAGCATTCACTGACAAGAGTTAACTACCTGGTACTCCTTCTAGAATGTTTATTAATGAACTCATGTTTGTTTGACCTTGAAATGTTGGTAGTTCATTGCACTTGCCCGGAGCAGTAGCTGTTTCCAAGGAAGCTGCTTAGCAGCCAGGAGATCTGCCAGGAGGACCGGGTGTCACATTCTTACTCATTGTGTTTACTCAATAGCACAGTCCAACTTTCCAGAGACACGAAACTACTGTGATTCAACAGCAACTATTTACTGCTTTGTGAACTTGGCCAGGTGACCAAAGTTACTTTTAAAGTGTGTAATCAATCTGCACATCTATTTAAAACCTGTGCCACAATTAGCACTTAAAAACCACACAGTTTTACGCTATTTGGGTCAAATTAATTTTATTATGCTCCATGATGAATTGCCACCAGTGCAACATCCTATTCACTGTACATTTCAAAAATTCACATACTAAAAATTTCATTTTGATAAATGGAAAATTGAATGATTGAGAAATTCTTACGGATTTCATACGTACAAGTGGCTAGCTGATATTGTCTATGCACACAGAGTGTTGAGATACAAAAGCCTCATGCTAGTTCATTAATTGCTAAGGCTATCTGGACAGTCATTTAACCAGAATATATAAGAGGCCTTCATTACAATGTTTAGCAACAATGCACCAGTATCATGAAATGCTATCTTCTGCTTGGAGTGCAAGTGGCAGAGTGCTGAAGCATGCAGTTATGACTAACTTAACTGCCATCGCAGTCTTTATGCCTGAAATTTATCATGAACAAACACTACTTGAAAGTAAATATTAACCTGGTCACCACAGATCGTGAGTGTACTTTTTGTATGAAGAAGCAGAAAAACCAAAAACTTTCTTTGGTCAGTATCTACAAAACAAAGTTTTATTCAATAATGTAACTTCAGAGCTCCCAAAACCTGGAATAGAAGTTGGATTAATGAATTGTGATGTTTAATTATTAACTATATTACAGAAATTCCAATTCTGGGAACATAAAAGCTAAACATACCTAGTAAGTAGCATGTTAGGAAAACCTGTAGGTCTCATCTGCTTCATTTTAAAATGCCCTATATGCAATAAAAATAAGGGAGCAGTGCCAGAAGTTATATGAAAGCCATACAAATATTTTCCTTATACACAAGTTGTTAACTCCACTGCCATTAGCTATCCCAGGCTGCACTTGCACTTGATACAAAGCTCAAGCCATTACAACAGCAAAGCTAGTAGGAAGTGTTTCCAGCAGCAGAGGCCGATGAGAAAGTTACCGCAAGAAAGTGAGACCACTTGGCAATTTTTTTCCTCAAGTTATGTGCTTAAATTACTCTTCGAAGGAAGTTAGCATCCTCTGAATAATTTAACTACAACCTTACCTCTCCCACTACTTTTCAGCAACTTTCTTTTCTTCTCATACGACTAAATTAATTTGCTAAAGACTAGGATATAACTGGGTTAGAAATCCAAGCCGTATCATGCAGGTCCAGCCTGTCAAGATCAGGTCAACACTGGGTTTCAGTCAACACAATTCTGATAACTTAAATTTCCTTTGACACTCTGACTACAGTCAAAGACCCAGGACACTATGCATTAACTACGCTCCAAATATGACTGACTTAACTAAACGTTCTGTGTCAGATAACGTGGTTTTTAAAAAGATTTTCTACCTGAAAATTACAGTAAGTACAGTAATTAACTCTGCAGATATTAAATACCCACGTAGCATAGATTAGTATTTCGTAATAGACAGATGTGCCAATGTTTACTGCACTACAAAGTACACATCATATAAATGTGCAAGCTGTGAAATGAAAATCCCATTTTCTGTCCACTTATTCAAATACTATTCTTGTGAATCAGGTTCTTGATCTTCATCACAACCCTTGGTCTTAAAGCCAACATATGAAGACAGAATACTGCCATAAAATTCAGTACTTATTCGAAGTGTATAATTCTGAGTTAATGACTTTCCAACCTAAAGAATGTAGGACTGGTGCTTCAGCATCTGTTGTGTACCATAATGCAAAGACTGCAAAGTAATACCACTTGTGTTTATTAGTACACCAATGTCCTACAAATTTTACGAAGTAATTAAACACTATTGAAGCAAGCCTTAAATGCAGCCCTTCAGTCTGAAAACCATAAAAAAACTGATTTTAAAAATATATCAAACTGCAGCGATTGCCAGCCTCCAGTACAGCCCCCAGTAATTTAGATGTCTTCATTCTGAAAGTAAGAGCTGGGAAGGAAGAAAAAAAAATAAAAACCAACCAAAAACCCCCCAAATCCCCAAACAAACAAAAAAAAACCCCAAACCAAAACCAAAACCACCCTCCCCAAAAAACCCAAAGAAAAGATGGAACTTCTCTGCATTCAAAGTTGTCTTTACTGCTATGACAATGTAAAGCCACCCTGTTTAACTTCAGATAGAGGTCCCTAATTGAAGAATTTAATTACTCCTGCTATTCAATAGCAGTCAGTACTGCTACAGTTAGGGCAAGGTAATTTTCACAACTAGCTGTGCATTTCTGAAGTGCTTTTGTGTTATGTAAAGCATACTGCTAAGATTTGAACTGCAATGTTGTGATGTATTTGAAACCATGCAATAGTATAAACCAGCCTCAACATTCATATAGCATTGCATTTGAAATGAAGGGGCTAAATAAACTAAGAGCTGCATCACTTAAAGAACATAGTGCTATACTAGGTTTTAATAAGAAAATTTAGATACAGAAAAAGTAGGGTATGAAAATAGTGTTTTCCTTCTTGCATTATAACTAAATTACATTAAGGTTTTTGTCAGTCTCACATATTACATTTAAACTCCCTTATTGATGGAATGGAAAGTATTCACATGTACATGATCATCCAGGTGTAAACTTGCACACATTAACAGGGAGTAGCTTTGTTGAGGATTATGACAAACCTTTACAGATTAAATGAGGTATTGCACAGATTAATAAAAAAGCAAAAGGCAACAAAAATATACAGCAAATTGGTAGAACATTTACATGATAATTTTACAGAATCCATAGACAGAAAGTAGTGTTTAGTATATCATTCACCTTAAAAAATATATATATAATAATATATGATCAATCATCCCATTCGTCATCATCCTCAAAGTCTTCTTCATCATCTTCATCCTCATCTTCATCTGTAAGACAAGAAAAGCGAGTCACCTGAATGCACAGAATTAACACGACAGAAGCGTTACTGATTTCTCTCACAACTTTCTGAAAACAGAACAATCAGTTCAAGGTTGTCATGACAATACATTTGGTAATACTCTATTTTAAGATTGCTGGACATGACATTCAGTTTAGACAGTTACTAGCTGGAAGTTAAATCTAATTTGTTTCTCTTCTCACTTCTTCCCCCAGGTGGGAAAAATGTATCTTGTTTTGTGCTAGGAGAAAAAGAATCAGCAACTCTCGATTAACACTTACTACTTATTACTCTTTCTTAGAGTAATGTGGCCAGCTTGTTTCAGACTGCATTTTAAACTTCAAGGACAGATTAATTTCTGAAATGTAAGAACTGCCTCCCCAGGTTTTCTACGTAATGGAATTTCTGTTTACTTTACAACAGATTGAAAAAAAAATGTTGTGAGCTAAAAATCATTGTGGATACTGGAATAACTGGAATATTCTAAGCTGTGTAATACACATCAACTTCAAGATTAATGTTTAACTTTATTCACCCTTCTATTTTTTTATATACATCATACTTAAAAAACTGTAGCCTGCTAAACTTAAACTACTTATTTGTTAGGAAAAAGCCTAATAAATTTTCTTTCCCAGGAAAACAGTGCATTTAGCTCCCTTCTGGTATTTAATTTATGTAAAGTACCAAAACTGAAGATTATTACATAGGGCAGCAAATCAACAAACTATACTGCACTTGGTCAAATGCTCTGCAGACTGCATACTCAGTTCTGGTATCAAGGCAAGCTATGGAAGAAAAATATATCAAAGCCTCGATGGAAGAGATGTACCCAAACAGCTGCACTGCAGCTACAGAACTACATTTATTACAAGCTGGTATTTGAGAAATACAAATCCTCTTGCAGCCCTAATTTTTCCAAGCACTCAAGTTGATTCAGTACTGGTAGGGGACTAGTCAACTAACACTAGATATCCAATCCTTATCCAGTAGGTGGCAGCCAAAGCCCACTGGGAGCTACAGCACAATAGCTGAATCTTTGCCTTCAAGAAACAAAGTGTTAAAAACCTTCCTTCCAAAATATTTTGACAACTTATTTCATCAGACAGTTAGTGGATAAAAATAAGTCAGTTGTAAAAGAAAGAAGAAATCCTTCTTGTAAAAGAAAAAAGAAATATTAACCTAATATTACCTAATGGTAACTTTTAATCCAGGAATCCTGCAAATTACTACACTCCAGTAATTCAAAGCATGAAGGAACCATTCAGAAGCTCCTCCTCCAAGGGTATGCTGAGAGCATTCTGTACTGGACTATATGCTGAAATCCCTGCTTTTCTCCAACAGTATTTTATGATGAATAGAAATGGTAATGCTTGAAAACCTGACACCATGAGGTCAGAAAAATGCCATCAGACGCACCTGAAGAATGAATGGCTTTGCTCCTTTTCTGCATAACTTCCATTAATGCACCCACAATTCCTGAGGTGGGTGCAGGTGTAGGTGGTGCACTCTCCTGACCATCAGATACCTTGGAAAAAGGGTTAGAATAGAAAGATGCAAATTAGCAAAACAGAACTTGTGTATTTTGAGAGAAACCTCCTTATAAGATTAATGAGTTTATTTTCTGCCAGAAGAAAGTGTAAAACAGCTTGTTCCTTTAGCTCTAACTTCAAAGTCTTTATTTATAAAAAAACACCAACTTTTTCTTTTTTACCATATAACACAACTGTAGTTAGCCATACTCAAGGTTTAATATTTCAGCTCTGACTATCACAAAGTGAGTGCTCATCTAAAGGAGAGCTTCTTAATATGGTTGTTTAGGCATGACTTGTGTGGCTGGGTAATCATTATTTATTTTATCTTTGGTATATACCACAAAATATCTTTTCTTGTTTGGGTTTGTTTACTGAGACTGCTTTAGGCTGATAATCCCTTCTGAAAGTAATCAATACTGCATACCTCTAATAGCAAATAAATATGAACACATCCTCATGCTTTTTAAATCAGAAGTCTCAAGTGCGGAAGAATGGCAAAAAAAAGAAAGTACTAACAGGTAAATTATTTTTAAGATATTCAATGACACTGGTAAGAAATAGTAACAATAAAAGCCTATGCTGCAGCAGGAACAGCAGAGGCATCTCTCATGGGCAGCATTTTTCCAGACACAGACACCTTCTTACAAGCTTCAACATTTCCAGAGCACAGGTCCATTTTAAGATGGAAATAAACATCATCCTAAACTCACCCCCTGCAGCTGTTTAGATGATTGTACTGAAGTATTCAAAAGAGCAGCTATCGTTCATAATTCTTGCAAAAGTTCTGTACAGCTGTGACACTGTGGCATCATTGTTTTAGAATTTATGTTTGAAGCTTTACACAAAAGTGAGAAATGAGTTTGAAACAAGGATAACTTCATGTACTAATACTCATCTACAGGAACTGTGAGTTCTCTGCATTTTGTCAGTACTCCTGCTTAAGTCATCATTTCAGAAACTCTACAATGTACAATCCACCTCAAAGCAGAACCACAATTTACTGTTTACACTGCAGTACTGCTGCCATTTGCAAGTCCCAAAGGGACCTGGATGATAAACAGTTTTTACTCACAGATTTCAGCTGTATACCCTGTCGTATCTGGTCTAGCAGTGCATCTCTTCCTGAGCAGGACACTGGTCGACTGTTCTGTTCTACCTTCTTTAACTGAGCTCCTTCTCTGATTTGATCCAAGAGTGCTGCTTTGTTTCCCGCAGGAACTGGAAGCTGGTGATCAACCTCTGAAGGAAGGCCTGGTGGTGGTGGAGGGCCGGGAGGGGGAGGAGGAGGTGGAGGGGGTGGAGGAGCAGATGACCCACTTGCTGGTGGCGGTGGTGGAGGAGGAGGGCCAGAGGGTGCAGATGATGAATGCACTGGCGGTGGTGGAGGATACATCCGGTTTGGAGGAGGTGGGGGCACTGTGGCACCAGGTCTAGATGGAGGCGGAGGTGGAGGTGCTGCCGTGGGAGCTCTTGAAGGAGGTGGAGGTGGTGCCCCTCTGCCCCTGGCAGGGGGAGGAGGAGGGCCGGAGCTATGGGGAGGTGGTGGTGGAGGTGGAGGGGGTCCTCCTCTGCACGGTGGTGGCGGAGGTGGAGCTGAAATGAAACAAAGCAACTTCAAATTACCTGCTACTCAAGACCCATGAGTCTTTCAGAGACTAGCAGAAAAAGAAAACAGGCTGTGCCTTGCCTTTTGCAAGGATCTCTGTGCCTGTGCAAATTTCACCAATTCTGGATTAAACTGAATACAGCTGAATAAAAGATATCCCTCTACGGCAAACCAAGCTGTATATAGTTTCTAGGTCTGCTGTGAATTTTGTAAGAGTCAAACACTGCAGGAAGCAAGTCTAATACATAAAAAGACTGATTAAAATTCAAAAGAAACCTGTAAAGTTTTGTTTAGCTAGAAGAGAATGAAAAAGGTTTTAGACAATAAAGTAAAAGACACAATTTCCACTTTATAATCTATCCATTATTTTATTAGGTAGCTACAAAAGCAAATATTTTTTGAAGCAGTATCTTCTAGTAACAAAAAAACCCCTACTAATGCATTTCAATGCAGCATAAGCTGACTCTTAGTCCCTTTTACTGAAAATTACTTCCAACAATATCTTTATGGCAGGGACCATAGAAAGGAAACAACTTCAGAGCTACACACAGGATCATTTCTCTGTGAAGTGGCCTTGAAATGTACTTGCTTTGATAATGGCATTTTAAATAGCACTGTTTCATTTCCTCTTTCATTAGGCATCTAATGACTTATGGTACTTTAGGTCATGTGGTTGTTACATGTAACTACTTAATAATTCAGGTGTTGTCATATAACTAAGAAAATTCACATTTTATATCATATGCTTTTATAACAGAAAGGGTGTTACACTGAAGAAGATACTTTTTTACTCTTCTATTATCCCCTTCATTTTACTTGCAGAGAAAGCAGGCTGGCTACACTGGAATAGAGAGGGAACATCCCTAAAAATGGGATTTTGAGGAAGCAGGAGACACTAGTATCTCAGTGCCTCCATCCCCGCTCATCTTTAAAGAAAGATATTGCTTCTAAAATCACGTGCTATGTTCTTAAGTTTCACAAACTGCTCTGTTTTTTTCTATCCCTTCATAAGAACAACACAGGGAGAATCATCTCTAACTTCATCTATTTTCCAAGAGACATACTGCCAACATTCTTGATTTTAAAAACTCCCACCACTTTTTGGCTGGCATGGCTGTAGTTTCCTTTCTGGCCACTGGAGGCCGGTATTATCAAATGTAACAACTCGGCAAGCACTACAGACAGCTGGGTTTTTTGCATTACTGAGAAGATATTCAATACTGTCGTGCCCCAAAGTCTGTACTGTCTGTAGATTTTAAAAACAAAGCTTAAGTTTTCCTGCGGGGAAGGGGTTTATTTGCATCATATCTAGAGAGATATTCCACGTCCAATCTATGGAAACAGAGTTCAGCCTGTCTGCACTCAACTGAAGTGCAATGAAGGAGGAGCAGCAGGAAGAGAGCATCATTACCTCATCCTCTCTCCCTTCCCCCTCAAACAGATGGTACAAGCAAAGCAAGCAAATAATTTGGTTTTTTGTAAATGCACATTAATCTGTGCAGTATATTAACAAAAAAGTTTGTACAATCTTTTCTTGATAGTACTGTCACCAAAAAAAACAACCACCAGTACCAGAACTAGGGAAAGGGTAGGGGAAACAGGATCTCAGAAGAATGACTTGCCTGCAACTCTCTAGTCAGCAGCCTAGCAGAAACGTAAGCACAGAAATTCTTGCAATAAACACAAAAATATGTTTCAGTTGAGAAAGAACACTTCAAACAGCAGTCAAGCCTACACATTAAATAACATAATTGTGGATAAATGCACTGAAATACTGCAGTATTTTATCTGCCTCTATCAAAAAGTGCAGAGGTAGATTATCATCATGCATGTCAAAGAAGAGGCAGTTTTTCTTTTAATTGCATACATGCAAGTGGCCATAATGTGAAGTTAACACATATGAAATAGAAAAATAGGCATTTTTTAAAGATTTTAACCTAGTCATAAGACTCCAAGGCAAGTATTCTCAATCCAATTTTATGGTTAGCAGTCTGGGATCAACAACTCTGTAAACATTTACACAGAGTTAATATTATATAAAGAAGCTGAGAGATTTACTACGGAGAAAAAAATCAAAATTGAAGTTTTGATTGCAATTCAACTAAGAAGTTTGACTGCAATACTAAAAATTATAGTCAAACAGATGCAGACTAAGTTTTCTCATCTAGGAAAGAAATCACACAACAGCATGAATACTTTGAAGCATATGCTTAGATGCCAGCTCAAATACATACCGCTCCACCGTGGGGGACCTAAGGAATAAATGTAACAAGTCATTGTATCCTGGATCTGTATCTCTTCAGTCTATTGAGCAATTTACTCACTGGTTTCAAACTGCTATAATTTCAATGGCATCTACATTAGATTTCTCTTGAGAAGTGTTCTAAGCAAATTTTTGAAAGTTTGACACTAGCAGTGTAATGTAACACTGACTTGCTGTGTTCCACTAGATAATGCATTGGCTGAGGTCATATTTAAACGTTAGGCAGGCAACAGCTTATTTGAGAATTTTCCTGCAGCAAAAGCATGCTCAAAACTAGTATTTTTAACTTTAAATTAAGAAAAAAAGCCTTTAAAAAATAATACAGAATTTTCAAGTCTGCACTGTTGCAAGGCCCACTACATAGTCCTGCCAGGGTAAATGGGCACCATACATACAACCTGCCAGCCAGGTACTACTGCTATAGCTGACAACAGCATTATGGCGTCCAAGATTTTAATTTATTTGTAAGATTGAAATTACAAATAAATATGTAACATATACATTCTGAAAAATCTATATCAAACATACTGCGTAGCTTTGCAGTCAGACTGAGTGCTACCAGAAATTACTTAACTGACATAAATACCCTTATTCCTGAGGGACAAGTACTCTCATGGGTGATGCATGAACATTTTTACATAGTGTATAGTGTAAGGAAACATGAAATCCAGTGCAACTGCAGTGACATGAAGTCCAGAGAAGAGGATCAAAAACTGCTCACCATCAACAGTTTCTACTTTAATCCGTAAAGCAAAAAATGCCACGCTAATTTTTATGTGGAAATAAGAGGAATCCCACCTTGTCTGCGCAGTTCATTTTTAACAGCTTCCACACCTCCTGTTTTTTCAATGAAATCATATATGACCTTTGAAGTTTCTTTGTCTTTTAGTTGAGCCTCTGAAATTCCACATAGATCAAACAGATTTTTCAGTTCTGGGTCTAAGTTGTTCACCTGCAAGTCAGATACATTAGTTTTAAGTAACTTGACATGTGAGGATATTTTTAAAATATCATTTGTATTGGGGGGGGAAAAAACCCCACAAACCACAGAGCTGAATAGCAAAGCCAAGTACATGCCTCTAGGTTGACTTTTCAAGTCAAAAAGTACTATTGTAGGAGACGTAAGTACCCTGCACAAAAACCGAAGTTTTGCATCTTTTCCCTCTTAGTCCCAGATCCCTCCTACTCCCTTCTACTTGAACATCTGTTTATATCACATTATAAATCACAATTTAGAACTACTTTGATGTACAGTTAACTGTTGATTTAATGCCAATCTTTATAATTTACATTAAAAAGTCTCTAAAGTTTTAATCACTCAGTGTCTTGAATAACTTATTCAATTACTTACATCAAAACCTGTGTTTGGATCCCAACCAACATGTCCAATGTGTCTAAAAAAGCAGAAAAGCCCATTTAATCAGCATAAAAAGGACTTTGTTAGCCAAAACAACAGGAAACCAAGATAACTGGAGATTACTACCAGCTTCTACCTCCAGTCTCATTGAGACATTAAGCAATTCTTACTCCTCAATGCCTCACTTGAGAATGGAATAGTAAAACATCCTTTACTCCTGCTTTTTGTCTTGTGCCCAGAACTCCACATTTTGTGTTTCTTTTTGTCTACGGTTCTGTGTAACCGAAGGCATTTAAAAATTTTATCTATTGATTGGTATTTATCTATTGATAAACAGTGACTGTGTTGGTCTTCACCAGCATCACAACCCAAGTTATATACAAGTTATAAGTTATCCTACTGGCATGTTTGCCTAACAATAGCAAATGCCAGTTTCCATATGTCTGTACAAACCCAGCAATTACAGTATCTTACATAGTAAGATGACACAGTCGCACTCATCAGGAAAATTAAGTAGACCTTTAACCAAACAAAACAAAGTTTTAATAGACTTCTTTTGGAAAGGTTCACTATTTCCAGCTTAACGTTACATTTAATGATATTGGAACCTATCTTTTGTTTGAACTTCATTAAATATTTTATCACCTTACTCTCAGCTTTTCTACATTAGAACCTGATAGACATCATAAACAAAGCCTCAAAGTCATTTTATATCTATGCTACTGCACAACTCCCTCCACAAATTCCTAACAGAGGTATGACGCACCAATGCAAATTTTGGCCACGAATGCTGAAGTCGGCATCAGTAGAGCCACAAGAGTGACCAGCTACCAAGCACTCCTCACTCTTCGTTTCACTTTTCCTTCTTTTTCTGTATTTTTCAGTTTAAGTGACACTAACAGATGCAGCACTTCACTGATACTCAGATCAGTAGCAACAAGGTTGATGCCTGAATTGTCCAAGCACAGTCTGGATAGAGAAGTGTTTTAGCCTGCCTCCTGTTCTGTCCTTCTGTCCACTATCCCATTCTACAGAGCACTCTCTCAAAACACTGTGCAGTAACATTACTGTAACTGGTAATGTCAGCATTACTTCTACAAAGTTTTATTCTGGGAAAGCACATCAGTGCAAGTGATGCAATATAATGGTTCAAAAGAACAAGACACAGACTTGGCATGTAAACCTCACACTGGTTTTCTAATGCTTCACAGAAACCAATCTTTCCTGTAACTAACTCATGCTCTTTAAATTGCTGTTGCTTTAGCAAATAACGTACACTTATTTTAAAAGGCAGAAGATTATGACATCAATTATTTTTCAGGAATACAACAATTAGTTCAGTAAAGTGACCAAAACCAAGTTTCATGAAAGTGAAGTTTAAAATGATATATCATTACTCCAAAAGATTAAAGATACATATGAAATGACATTAGGAAAAATCCAACCCATTCCTCAAAGATGTATACATGCATGCTGTACTTCCATGACAAGATACGGGTCCTAGAACACACATCAGAATAAGTTTGTAAACCGAAAGCCAAAGATAAAAATATGGCAAGTTATTTCTGCTGTTATGACAAGTCAGGATCTGCATGTGCATTCTGCATGAGAAAACACAGCTAAGCAAGCCCAGCTGTAAGAATAACAGTGTTAGAGTTGACCATTGAGGCTGAATATGAGTCTCCACTGAGTTGACAACAATATGGCATCTCTATGCAGCTAAATTGTTTCCTAAATTAATTTTGGATAGCAAGTTACTTTTTGTTTACAGCTGCAGTAAACTCCTCACCTGTGTATAAGCTAACCTGCTTTTAAACACCATTCCAGCTAGCATTCGCTGCAGTTCAGGTTACACAGAACAGTCACGCATTCAAGCCTTGAGCATTTGCAATGTAAATGACACCAAAAAACAACAAGACCAAAAGCCAAAACTCCCCTAAAGAAGAAAAAAATCCATCAATCAAACACCCAACTCAAACTCAGAGAAGTACTTACTGAAAATTAGATGGTGTTCCAATATCTGCCTTTGTCAATCTTCTCTTTTTAGTTTTTCCTTTCTTCTTTTCTTTGGTATATGAAATATTGTTGACTTGTGGAGTATAAAATCTGTTAGTTGTAATTTCTGGGTTTTTGATATCAACAGTTGCCATTGGTAGATTTGGGCCTGTGAAGGTAAAGTACAGGATTTTTACTACTGTGTTTCAACAAAGCCATATTTAATCTACAAACTTTGGGAGGTTTTTCTGAGCTGTAGAGTACTTGTAATGGAGCCGTAGATCTACAAACATGCATCCAGCTGTTTTCTGGATGTCAGATGCAGAAACTAAGTTATCTGATGAAGAAAAGTGTTGCTAGAACAGAGCAACAGAAAAATTTTCTAAACTAGAATTTTTTTGCCATCTGCACAGAATACATGAAACGAGACACACTAAGATACAACACAGCTACAATCCTAGACAAGATCAAAGAAGTGACTTGCATAAACAGTAACATCAAAACACCCAGGCAGCCATTACCTGGGCAGCACACTAACCTGACCCTAAAGGAGACAGAACCTTCGCTTAATAAGCCCCAAGTGAAAATGCCTTCTGCCATCACATACAGACTGAACATCACAACAACTTCAGAATGCTGCTCCGGACACAGTACTGCCTTCAAATATAGGACAATATCTACAGAACTATTTAGGATTTCTTATGTCTTACTCTTTGACAGGTTTTCAAAATAATGAAGTCCCAGATAAGAAACAGCTTGAAGAGATAGTAAAAACAGCACCAGAAATACAATTCATAATCAGCATGCTTAATTTATGTTCTCAAACCTTGTTCTTCATTATAAACAATTCTGAATTATTACTCTAGTTATTTAATATGCATATGAATTATACTCCTGCCAATTTCAGCATTTTAATATTTTGTTATTTATGCAGTACTAGCAAATAAACATACCTAGCACATGTTCCACTCAGGTTTTTTAGCTTTGACAGAAGATAACTCTTAACATAAGCAACTAATAGCAGTATTTAAATACTAAGAGATAATTATGCATTTATCATATACATTGAGGGCAGAGCAGAATCACAGAATATTCAGAGTTGGAAGGAACCCACAAGGATCATTGAGTCCAACTCTTAAATATGTATACGTACACATAAGCATATTTTTAAAGAAATCTGCAAAAAGGGTAAGTAATTTCAGTTTTGGAAGAATGAGATTAAACAGTTAATTTAAGACTAGTTTGGCCAGAAATAGTTTGAAAATGTTCTCTACTTTCCTGTAAGTTAAGACCCAGTGGTTTGAAAATTAACTAAATTAAGACTCATGCACCCAGTCTTATTGGGAAGATGATAAAAAAAGTCTAATTAGACTTCAATAAATATGAACCTTATTTTGACACTATTTTTTCATAACTGAATTTTGTATGGATAATTCAAAAGCTCTCTAAGCATTTTGAAAGGACCAACAAGCCTTATGTTCACAGTCTAAAGTAAAAATCAGAAAGGAGAAGTAAACAATACAATGGATAACATATTTGTAGTTAAATACCTCAGTGGAAAGCATCTACTACTAGCCAGGACAAGAAACAGAAACATGACACTGGGCTAGACAAAACTCATCTAAAACATATGACAACTCCTTCATTCCTGTAGGAGTCTTAAGGGACAAGATTTAAAACTGCATTGAAACTGCAGAAAAAAGAATTTCTAAAATGTTTTCTGCTAAGCACAAATGCTTTGATCTAGAAATGTTATGACATAGACAACTGTCCTTTGAGAACACCACAACATAAACTGACCCCATATCATTATGCAAAACAATTTGCATTGTTAAAATTAGTACTGAATTGACTAATCATCAAATATTATTAAATCAACAAATGAAGTTCAGTAAAATCTTCAGGATGAGTTGAAAACCATAGTTGTAATTTCATTAGGTACAAAACTAAAAACAGTAGGAGTTAATTTTCACTTTAATCACCTATTATATTTTCTCTGTTATATGTTCTGTTTTCACCTATTATATTGATATTTACAGTTTCAATAGCTGTACTTACATTCAAAAAGAAACTGGTACCTTTACAATGCTAGTAATTTTGTCATATTCTCACATGCAAAAAGGTGCATTTTAAAAATCCTGAACTAACCACACATGGTTTTAACCATGTAAAGCAGCAGCCATCTGCAAACTGATGTTTTAATCAGTTGAGCTCAAATCAAGGATTAATAGCCTGTTTCCTTGATACTGATAATATTCATACAAGAGGTCACAGTAAACTTAAGGATGAAAATTTTTCTTACCGTCAGGTTTAGACCTTAGTTGTCCACGAGGGATAAAAGAATCTTGGAAAGAATTGCACTCTTCTAGAACTGCCATATTTATATCCAGTAAAATTTTTCCCATCATAAGACATGCACCTTCCCCATCAGGTGCAGACAGCTCAATAAGTGAAGATGAGAGAGGCATATAGAGCTCATCATTAGGAAGCACCTGACAGTACAGTGGTGTTAAGCATCCACTGTTATCAATATCTGTGACATCTTCAGAAGGGGCTCCAGAAAATGTTGTACAGAACATTATGAAATGTTAACTCTAGGAAATTCTCTGTATTTTATGTAGAACCTCTCTAGGCATCTGTCCCAGACTACAGACAGCCCTACAAAATATGCAAACTGTTCTAGTTAACAGCTGAAACAAAATTCTGCCACGCAGTTCTTCAATATTCTCTCAAAACCTAATACTCTGACAAATCCTTATTTCATCCAGAATTTCACCGAGGTCAGTTCAATCACAATAACTCTTCTTTATTTGCATAAAGAGACCTAGCTATTACACATGAGTAGAACACAAATCCCAGGAAATTACAGACTAATACATTTTACATAACTGCTAATGCCAATTTGAGTTTAATCCTGCAATTCTACAAAAAAAATCTTAAATCTGCATCATTGAAAACGTCACACAAAAAGACAGCAAGCTTTTTCCATGCAGCTTCAATGTATGCAGAAAATCCAGACTAACAAGCCCCACTAAAACAAAATTCCCCACAGTATTTCAAGCAAGAATCATGTGAGTACAGAAATGTGACTGTTCTTGTTTTTCGTTTTAGAGGTAATCATACATTAATACCCAGCACAAAAAAAAAGCAGGTGTTACATCTTTTTTTCCCCAATAGGATTTCAGTGCATATAGAGTAAAACAAAATCTAACTGATACTACAACAGGTATGGGAGGTTTTTTTCCAGTTACATGCTGATAGTACATATCTGTTCTAGTATTAATTCCAAATACTGAAATGCAAAGTCTGTAGAGAATATAACCACCTGAGGCCTGTGACTACTGAGGCCATGGCCACACAACTCCTTGCCAGCAGAGAAGTCAGGCATTACAGAATTTGACAGAATCAGAAAAGGTAAATGGACAGATTGTGAAAGACTATGTGGATGTCCCAGGGGAAGTTTATTAAAAAGCAGATATACTGAAATCTTTGAAGTGACTGAGCATAAACCCTATGCCTTCCACAGAACGTTCAGGATAAAGGCATAGGGACAATGACTTCAAGTTCTGACAAACAAATTGTTTGTGTTACAATAGAGACAAAGGCTTAATTTTTTGTGGTAGGTAGTACTACACGGTCACCACTGCTGTTTTAATTCTCATCTGCTCTGCAGACGCTGCTATCAGGGATGAGCAAAACACCAGTTAAAACTTTCTGAAAGCTCAGAAAAGCTGGCAAGACAATCACAGATTGTATTATTACAAGTGTTTCAAAACTTACCAAACCAGTCACAATTGAAGGAATCTACACTAAACTGCCTGGCCTAAACTGATGATTGCCGGAACATTGTCAAAACTTAATGTTTATGTAAAAGAAAAAGCAATTTTTTGAGATGTATGAGGGAGACTTTATTTGGGTATATAAAAGGTAATCAGTAGTTCCCATAATGCAGGGTTAGTTTAGCATTATGTATTTTGGTGACCTACAGGGATGCTTGAATGACTTGGCTAGTACAAATGTTAAGACTACTACTTCAGGCCTTAAGGGGACCTCAGAAGATCAGCTGACTGCACCCTTGCTCAAGCAGCAAACTCACAGTGATATGACCTATGATCTAGATCACAAACAGAAATGACAGGAGAAATCACTTTTTAACTTCAGTGTGAATTCAGAAATCAAAGACACCAAACTTATTCATTGATGTGCATTTTTCACTTGATTTTAGAACAGACGGTAAAAAAATTCTGGATGAAACTGATATATAATTTGACTCCTTCCATTAATTTAATGAGAGGATCTCCTGAGGAACCTTTATCTTCATGCTAGGGAGACATATGCCTGAAGGCAAACAGATTCGAATAATTCTTCATTCAAAAAAAAGTTTAATATTGACAAGCATATGACATACAACTAAATTACTGTGTTACATGGTTAGCCAGACACACTGAAATTGAAATTTTAGGTATGTTCTATGAAATCCATTATCATTATGCCTGCCTTTAAGACAAAAAGACTAACTTTGTGTGTAGTGATCCTATACATATATATTCTGGAGACCAAGCAGCAAATGCAACGTACAAAGATTTCTTCTTGGTTTAAGATGAAGGGCCCTCTATCCTATTTGCAACAAAACATGCTCCTCCAAAAACATTCTTTACAAATACCAGCTAAGCCACAAATCTTTCAAGCCACAACTAAATACCAAAGAACAGAAACAAAAGAAATAAAGTAACGTGCAGAACAAGAGTTTACTGCTTTTCCCACTACATGACTGTCCTAATCAAGCCTGAAACAAAGCTATACATAACAGTAAATGACAGCAGTAAGAAAAAATAAAATGCAGTGATTCATGCAAAAAGCTTACCATTTGGTGGGTCTCGTCTTTTTTCTGTTGAAAAAGAAAAAGACTTATTTAATAATAGGTATCACAGAAAAAATTAATTCTAAATTTTATTTTCTAGTGAAGCTTTCAATGACCTTAACCACAAACTTAGGAATCTATTAATATCCCTAAAGTCTACTTTTGCAGTTGAAAAAAAGCATTACAGAACAATAAAAACCCAATTTTAGATAATAAGCACTGATTTCAAGTGTGTAAACCGAGCAGAAGGATAAGGTAATAGCTACGGAGCTATTTCAGGCATTCCAACTATGAACTAAAGCGAAATATTCAAAGACCATCTGTTTTAGTACAGCCTATTGAAGTAAGTTTTTTTAAGCATTATTCTTTCCAATGTCCACTGAATGAAACTGTTCTTTCATTTTTACTTGAAATATAATTAGCACTTTATATTACAGAGTACTGTTCTCCCACAGAAACTAAAATTTAATTACTTTTTGCTGTATGCAAAGAAAACAGGACACAGAGGGGCAAGACATTTCACCTATGTTATCCAATAGGTATAACAATAGGAACAATATGGAAAAGAACTAGAATCTCCTTAGTCCTAATATGATATTCTATTCACAGCACCACACTGTTTCACAGACCATGAATAACCTGGCTTGATGATTTAAAATGTAAACATTTCACACCTCAATATTCTCAGCGTATAATGGTAAATTTCCCTTTAAAGGAGATTTCTTTCACTTACTATTAATTCCTACACCCCCAGTACACATTTACACCATTTTTGTATCTAGACCACACTCCTAAGAATTTTGGATTTAGCAGCACCCATAAAGGCAATCAGTTTATCATGTCACCACATCAAAAACCACATGTACATCCCTCCCTTTCAGATCTGGAGTATCCATAAGCTAGCAGGGGCTCCCAAAAGTTCTGTAATAAGAACTTTTAACAGGCATTTCACTTTTCAGCAAGGCCCAGAAAAACTGTTAACTTCTATTTTTCCAGACTCATAAACATAATAAAAGAGAGAAGATGCCTCCACAGATGGTGCTGACCTTGTCCTAGGAATACTTTAAAAACTCAAAAAATATACAATCGTAAGTGTGCAAGGCAAGTCAGCCTCATATGAATCTGCTGATCTTCAGGGAATAAAAGAATCTGTCAGGATCATCAAACTTTCATGGGAAGGAGACCAAAACCCACAGGGAATCAGCTTTTGATGAACAAGCCCTTCTAAAGACAGACAGTTTATTCTTAGGTCACAGCAGGCAAGTTTCAGACATAGATAGGGAGAACCTCTGTAAGGATGCCTCAGCATAAGGTATCAGGTCTGAGGGGAAGAAAAGAAAAAAAAAAAGAGAAAAAAAAAGGAAAGAGAGAAAAAAAAGGCCTTTTGGACAAATAATGTGCTTTCTCTTCCTAGAATATTCAGTTTAAGAAACCACATCTCATACTGTCTCAAAAACAAGCAAAGAACAAACCACCCAAACTCAACCTTTAGACCATAATTAGAGTTTTATTCAACAATTCAGAGACAGCAAAGAAGAGTGCAGAACTCATTGCAAGTCATCTGGCACAGGATGGGAAGCTGGCGAAAGCAGGAGATATTCCTAGGAAGCATTAAGTGTCTTGTGTCAAATCATGGGAATCCACTGCAATTTTCATTAGAAGAAATAGTTCAAGAAAAAAAAACAGTGGGAAACAGAGCAAGACATTTTAAAGACTTCCTGTAATTTTTGCTACATAGATTAATTTGTGGCCCCAGAGAGACCAGATCTCTTCTTATGTGGTTCCTACTGCTGACAAGAAAGTATGAACTCTTGTTCCTGAAGTGCAGATGACAACCCTGTTGAGTGGTGGATTTCTCTGTTTTGAAAAACGAAGATGCCTACTGATTGAAAATAGATCAACATCAGCAGATGCTTATGTCCAAAAAACACAGCTCCCTTCCACAAGCATCCCTGGAAATGAGAATAATCTCTGCTGAGACTTCAATCCAATGCAAGCTGAGCACTTTAGAGATGCCCTTGTCACCCAGGCAGCAAAACCAAAAGCTGTAGACAAAGATGAAAGAAAAAACAGAACCCAAACCAATAAATCCCTGTCCATATTAAGTATGCAGCCTGAAACTTATGAAGTGTCTTATGAAGGGACTCAGGAGCTAAAGCTTGTGGAGGAAAAAGGCAGCTTCAGAGAGGGTGAACAGAGCTTCCACACATGAGCTACAAGCAGTCCATAAAAATTAGTTAAGAAGTCCCCCTACTTTAGAAAGAACTACTTGCAGTTAAGAACAAGTGTCTTTTAGGGCTGAGTGCTCAGCATGTGGAGAAGGCACTTGTGTGTGTGTCCACATATTAACATTTCTTAGGCAAGATAATAAAAAGACAAACTAATGGTATCTATGTGCAAGAATACCCAAAGTGAGACTGTACTACAGTGATACGCATTGAGAAGAGAAACACTGTTCACCCTGCTTACTGGGGGAACTGTTTGAGACTGGTTTAATAAGTAAATGGAGAGATTATTTAGGTAAATCTACCACAGAAATTAACTAATTATAGTAATTTTTTCCTAACTTAAGGCTAAAAATTTGACTAAAAAAACCCCCAAAACCAGAAAAAAACCCACTACCCCCAAAACAAAAACCCCAATCCACACCAGAATTTAGCTAGATGAAAACCAGCATAATATTACAAAGATTAGGAAAACAGATCAATAATTCTTTCTCTGCCTTTCTCCCTCATTCTGTTCTCTACTTGATATTTTGTACATTTGCAAGTTTTTGTAAATTTTCTACTTGAAGCCAAACTTTCACCTCTCTGGAACTCCAGACACACTTACTCAGGGGTTGTCTGTATACTGGAGTGCATTTCATGCAGAGTGTGGAAGAGCAGAACCCTGTTGCCTTGTCTCTCAGCTGTTAGTATTTTTGTCTACTAGCCTCAGCACCAAGTGAGTGAGAACTGCTGTTCCTGCTACCTTCCAACAACATAATCTCTCCATAAGACTCCTGGAAAAGTCTCTTAGCAAGCCCTGAATGGTATAACAGGCAGCTAAATGATCACGTGGAGTACTCATTTGAGCTGAAAGCACCTCAGGTGCACCGCTATGAAATGAAACATATTTTGGAAGGCATGGGACTAAAAATCCCATTAAAATAGAAAAGCAGCAAAACTACCACACTATTACCTTGGTGATTGAGAAGGTAAGATGCATTAGAATACATACACAATGTATATATACACATTATAAATAATATACAACTTTTATAACATTTGTATTATATATAAATCTATATATAAATGTTTTATATGAGCATTTATATATAAACAAATAAAAACATAAACACCGAGAACAAATCAGCTTTGATGTGAGCAAGTGCAAAGCCTGTTATTTTAAAAGCACAATTAAACAGTCACAATGACAAATACAGAACTCCATCTGGTGGTTTGACTAAGGAATCTCATGAGTATTTTAAATTCTTGAAGTGTCTTGTTTCGAGGGTTTTTTGTTTGTTTTTGTTTTTAGATAAAGTTGTCTTGAAATTGGAAGTATTTGGGGAGAGGGAGTTGTTTGTTTATTATGACAATAGATGGAGTAAACTCATCCTGTAACCTGAGCTTGAGCACAGAAACCAAGATATTAGTTCAAAGAGTAAATGAGAAAAATGTATGTGGTCCTATGGAAAAAAAATCTCTTTGTGGAAGGAAAACTGTGAACAGGAGGTTTGACCGAACCACTATTTTCAAAAAAAGTTTGCTGTGGCCAATAATATAAACATTCTTCCTCCCAAATCATGTCTGTGCACTGTAGCACTGTGTTTTAGACATATAACAAAACTTCGGGAACAGTAGATGCAAAATTACTTTTACACCATGAATATGAGAAATATTATTAATGATCCCACCTCTCCTCGTGAAACCTTATGAACTTATTCTGAGCAGAGGGAATCTTAAAGAAGTCATTTAAGCTCCTGGAACAAGTGCTCTGCTACTGAGTCACCATACCTTAATGAAAGCCAACTGAATACATACAGATGATGCATGTTCCCAAGAACACTTTGCAAGGATGGCTCTCCATGACGAGGGCTTCCTCCTTTTACAGTACACTGCATTGCTAGTGCAATTGAATTCCAGAATGGACTAAAAAAACACATCCTGGAGCTCAAACACAAGTCCACACTACAGCTTACAGAAAGCCTGAGCACATCCATGTGTTCCCAGCCTATGTTTTGTACCACTTTATCCTTCATGGACATATGGCTGTCAGACAGACAAGTTGTTTATGGGCTCCCTGGAAAATGACCAAGACAAGATCTGTAGGAAGCCTGAGCTCCCTTTAAAAGCACTGACCACATTCCCAAGGCATCTTGCAGCTGGCAAAAAGCATGCTGTGCTTCACCGTCCTGAGCTGCTAAGGACAGTATAGGCATATTATGTCTTCCGTTCGTGGCCTGAGCCAAGATCACTAGTTCTGAATAAAAGATATTTCTCTACTAACTGCTGGATCAGTGCCAAACATTCATTCACATGAACTACTGAACATACCAGATGGTAAAATCTTTGTTACAACCCACTCTGGCTGAATTTAAACAAATCAGTTATAAACAGCCCAGAGCTAAAAGAGGGTTTAGTTGAATGTGAAAACAGCTTAGAGAGATATTCTAGTTTTCCCACTGTCATTTTTGTTTCCCCTTGATCTATATTTTCAGTCACCACAACCTTGGGGTCTCAGTTTACATGGAAACTCATAGCACAGAACACCAAGTTAAGTTATTTCAGCAAAATACTAATTTTCACACAATAGAGAAAGTGGTACGGTTTAATGGCACAATCAGTTCAAAATATAAATATGGTAGAACTGCCTCCAGCAGCTTTCAGACATAGCAGTAGCTTTCTGCCTCCCCCCAAGATCAACATAAACAAGCCTAAATTTAAGATTAATTTGAATATTTACCAGATTTTCTCTGCCGTCGTCCAAGTAAATCTGTTACTGTTTTGCGGAATAGTTTAGCTTCTTCTTCATTAGCAAAATTAAGACCAACTTGACAAGTCTGAAAAACATTAATATTCCCCCACCCATCACTAAGAAAATGTTTCAAAGGCTTTCTTAAATGTTGTCTTACACCTCCTAAAGGTGTAACAAGAAAATAGCATCACTGCAAATTTGGAACCAAGTCTTTGTGAAACATTCCATCTTGTGAACATCTGTCTACTACTCAAGTTTCTAGAAATCATGGCTAACAGATTTGAACAAAATTTTGTAGCTTGAAATCAAAGGGGGGGAGAGGAAAATTTGTGTTCTAAGAATATACGATACTTCACAAACATCATCTGCAAGTCAAAATGTAATTTCATTAAAGAAAGTTGAAAATAAAGAACCACATTTTATGCTTCTGTACTATGAACTGAATTTTCTAGTTGAGGTACCAAAAAAATTTCCTTTTATAAATAAGCTTAAAAAGCTTCAAGGAGCACAGGTAATATTGTACTTTTATAAATAATTTACAGAATGAATTAATAACCTCAGTTACATAAAAAAAAAGTACCATTAAAACCAAAGGCATTTTACAGTAGGTATTCAAAGACATTCAGACTCACATCTCCAGCAAAGGTATGAAAATATCCTCTAGGACTATTATATACAAAGTTATTGTACAGCTCCTGCTCCCACAATAATTTCCCATCCTGAAAAGAAGAAGAAAAAAAAACAAACTGAAAACCTTCAGATGAAATTGCAGAGTTTAACTTCTTTCACAATAGAACCTATTATGAATTGGATGCAGCACGGTGTTAATCATCTTCCTTGCTATTAACTCAAAGAATGAGCTCAATCAAAATCAAAATACAATAGAGTTTGTGGAAAAGCTGTGAAAGCTTATTCCATTGGGTCCCTGTATTCTGTTGAAATTCCTGGATGTTTTCAAAAATATCCTTCAAATTCTATAATCCTGCAATAGTGATACTGGGAGCAGTAAAAGCAACCAGTCATAGGAAGCTCAGTTGGTTAGAGAATGGTGCTAGTAACACCAAGGTCATGGTTTTGATCCCCATATGGGCCATTCACTTAAGAGTTGTGGGTCTCTGCCAACTCAGAATATTCTGCGATTCTGTGAACACAGGGACAAAACAGCAGCAGCAATAAAGGAGGCTTCCAGTTTCCTGTTCTTATCTGAGGCTTGACTTGAAGACAGTTAACTTAAAAATCTCACCTTTCTAAGAAGTTTCATGCATTTAAATGACATTACAGTTCAGCACCCAAGGAAGAGGCTTCTCACTAAGTCTTAACAGTCAAGTGACCAAATCACAAAGTCAAATGCAAGTAGCAACTGGCAATCCTGAATAAATCTGAGACTTCAAGCACTGAAGGTTGACAGACAATGAGCTGTTCCTGGCTGTAGAGATAATGGGAATCTTTCCAAAGTCTCAATACTGCCACTAGGACTTACGTTTCTCAGCACCATTTTTATGATGAAAACACTTTTTGGACACTTCATCTCTCAGTTCCCACTGTCTTGCGTGAAATATTATAATGGGACAATGACCTTTGAGTGTATGACTGTATATATCATGAAAGGGGGAACAAAAAAAAAAAGCCACCAAAAAACCCCCAAAAAGTCAAAACATGTAACTTGTTTGTACTGCAGTTTTCACATGCACCAACACACTGATCAAAAAGATTGTTTCCACCCATACAGAAGACAGCATATCCTTTGTTAAACCATTTAAAGTAGTGACACCTGCTAGAATTGTGACAGCTATCCATCAGTGACACTATACAAACTTTCAGTAATTTGACTAATCAGATCTGTAGAGGACAGCTTCTGAGAGCTGTGAGAAAACTGAGCCTGATATTTATTTCATCCATAGAAGATGACACCTAGGAAATTGTTTGAATTTCGAATACCTGAACATTGCACTTCCCTATTAATAAGCACTGTAATTGCACTGCTTAAAGCACAACTATTTACTTGAGAATTTCTATGAGTTTGGAGCTACAACAACCTACAGTCATTGAATTCAAAACAGAGAATGAATACAACCAAGCTTAAGGAGTCTGGGAAAAAAAAAGGATGCTTACCTTAATGTCAAATATTCTGATAAAATACGACCTCTGCGGATTGTCCTTCACAAGGCAAGCTACGCCACAGCACTTCTTCGACCACATGGCATTGCGATCTGCTGCATATATTTGAACAACTGCTGAAGACATCGTCTAGAAAAAAAGGTAGCTATTACTTTTAGGGTAAAAATCATAAATTTTACAATTGATCCTTTACCAAAACATCTCTTAATTTTGTTCCTTGTTCTAGGCAGCAACTTTGCTGACTTCCCATGTGATAAGACAGTAAAGTTCAAATGACTCCCATGCTTTAGATTTTCACTTCTATGAAAGAACCTAATTGAACTTTTTGTTCTTGTTTTCGAAATCAGCAAAGGGATTTTGCCTGTAAGAAGCAAATCTGTAACTATGGCAGTCACACAGAGAATGCAAGGAAATTTCTTTCTGTTCAGTACTTCAAACTGGATAGAAACACTATACTCAAGCTGGAACTGTAAATGACACGGTGCCTGGAGACACTCCTGGGTACTGGAATGCAACTGCCTACATTGCTTAATTGTTCAAATGGTCTCTGGCACAATTTTAACCCATGCCAACTAGCAAACTCCTAAAATTCTTGGGCATGGTTTGAGAATTCACAGGAGCTAGGATCATTCCCAGTTGGCAACTTGAAATTGTCCTGTTTTCAAACTGAGAGATTTTAATAAGAGATGAAGATTATTCCACACCAGATTGCTGCAGTCACTGGGAATATTCCTCAGCATATTTTCTATGTGTCCTACCTTAAGAGTCCTATGAGAGAAGGAAAAGCGAAGTCCTTGAAGAATATTTATTTAGCAGCCAAGTCACATGGACAAAGTTTAGATACTCTGTAGTATCTAAGAAGATACTACAGACAGATCAGAAGCTATATAGCCTAGGATCTACTCTCCAGTAGCACGAGATGCCCAGGTAGGAATAAAAGAGTAGACCATTACAACTATGGAAGCATATCCCTAGCAACTGCCAGGTTGGAGCTCAAAGGTCCCTGAGCCAGCATGTGTTTTACAGCACATTCCTTTGTGAATTTGTCTAATCACTCTTCGAACTCATGAGAACTTCTGAGCATCACAACACTGGACAGGATTATATTTCACAGTTCACTTATGCACTATATGAATAGTCAGCCACTTTTATCTAGACATTTGCCACCTGCTAATTCCAGCTGACTGTCCCTTTGTATTCTTGCACTAGAAGATGGTGTTCATGGCTTCACAGTTCCTTCTCCATGTTGTACATGCTTTTACAGATGTTTGTCACACATCTTTGCCCTGTTCTCTACTGTTTAGGAAGTGACACTAGTTTTAAGTCATTCTTGTAGCAAGAAAAAAAATCTACACTTTAATTACCCTTGTCACTTTTATATGGATCTTAACTAGTCCTACTACATCTTCCTTTGATTGGGAATGAGACTTATCCTATATGAATGCAGTTTGTTAGCCTTTTGAACATAGGGTCACAATAACAGTTTTCTGTTTTGTTCTTTATTTATTTCACTGTCAGTCAATTAGAGTTTTATTTCCTTTTTCACTATGAAATATTAAACAGATGTTTTCATAGATCTGCTATAGTTCCATGACCTTTTAGGATGAATCATACCTAATCTGAGTAATGGTCTCCACATTAGGTTTTCCCCACCTGCTCAACAAGGATTACTTTACCTTCATGAATTCGACTACTTGCCAAAACAGTAGACATCTAGAACGCAGGCATGCCTAGTTGCATTATAAGATTATCTACTAAATATCCTTATCACCATGGTCACACTTTTCTTGGTTTAAGAAACCAAAAGAATAATCTAAGTTTCATTGGATTCTTTTACTTTAACAGAACTGGAAGTTTTTTGATAAGAGTCAAAGTAATGTAGGCAGACTGTAGCTACGCCTTGGGAAAGCTCCATAAACTTTGCCCAAGAACTGTGATGTTAACTTTCACAAGTCAAGATATAATTCTGTTCCTCTTTGCAGCCTCCTCTTCAGAAGTTGTCAGACTGACTACTAATCTTTCTGGTAACCTACAGAAAAAGTTAAAGCATGTTTGTCTGACAAAAAGAGACAATTTTGCTGAATCTAAAGTAGGTGTTGTTTTGAGGTCTTCTGAGTTTAGAGTTCAATTACATTTTAACTTATTCATTAGCATTGTACAAATTCCTAGTGTTGACAAACTGCAATGCAGCTTTCGCATGTTAGAACATATAATTCACAAATTCTGCTGTTACATGACTCATGGTTTTTTAATAAAAGGACAATACAGGAAAAAATACAAGGTGTATTTTTGTCAGGAGGGGAGGACAATTAAGTCCAACTCCTTTTACTTCATCCACTGTTCATTTTCGTTATGTAGAGCAGTGGTGCCATGCTTTCTGCTATTCAGCTTCTGGAAGACAGGTGGCAAAAATAATTAATCATCCACACCCTTTGGAAATTTACAGACCTATAAGCAAAATTTAAAACTTGAGAAAATATATGAACCATAAACTTCATCTACTGCTATTCATTATGAATCCAAGCCACACAAATTCCAATAAAAAAATTCAACTTCATTGCACAATTGCAGTGTCTGAGAACATTTACACAAATATCATAATTTGAGTATTCTACTGCACTTTCTGAGTGAGCATTCACTGTCAGCTCAGTTTCTCATAGCATTCTTAGAAGAGAATACTGCATTTTAAAGTATGGGTTCTTTAAAACTATATGTAAATACTTCTTCAGAGTAGGTCACACCACTGATTCAATATCCTGAGCGCATTTTTTCTGAGATAAAGTTATTTTGTTACTTAATACCTAAAGTTATTACTGTATTTTCAGGAGGAGGATTTTGAAGTTGTCACTACTGCTTTCTTAACAGTTTAGTGAGGACCTCGTCCTTTTTATATAGCTGTATATTTGAAAAAGATGCATAGAAGAAAGAAATAAGGTAGCCCACCGAAAATGGATGGGCCATGGAGACGAAAACCAACCTCCCTTTAGTTCCCTTTACTTTTTCCACACCAGCCTCCAGCTGGAGGACATGCCATTGATTCCAGCGACTTGTCACACCCCTCAAGCTGATGAGCTATGAAGCAGTAAGTATGGTGTTGTCAGCTGTACGCTGGCTGTTTCACTGGCAGATCTAGTCTTACCCTTCAACACACATACTGCAGGAAATGTGGTATCAACAAAAGGTTCATGAAAACACCTACTGCCTGCAAAACTTAGGTGTACCTAGTCATCACACATTTGCAGAATGTGATCACAGCAGCCACGGACAGTTTCCAACTGGGCAGCAGACAGCTGTGTACTTTGGTCAGCTTCTGGTGTGAACATTTGCTGTGGTGGCCTCTCAATAACTTGCTGTAACTCAGTGTTTCTCAAAAAAACAGTGAAGCAAGCCAACACAGATAGTTGCACAAGAAAGAGTCATCATAATAGATGACTTACGGCTGACAGACATTAAAACATAGGGGGCCAAAAGTCACAATAGAGAGTGGCAGCAAGATTAAGGCTGTAAGATGATGTTCAGTCACCTCAATATACACTAGAACAGAAAGATCCATTGGAATGGTTTTTGTAGTACAGTTGACAACAAGGTTGTGGTGAAAAGATCAAAGAATTATAAAATTACTTTGGTTGGATGTGACCTCTGTATGTCTTCCAGGCCAACCTCCTACTCACAGCAAGGGTAATTAAAAGCCTACAGTTCAAGTTGCTCAAGGTCCTGTCCAGTTAAGTTTAAAGGCTGCAAAATCACTCCTAGGGAATCTGTTCTAGTGCTTAATCACTCCCATTTTAAAGCTTGTAAAAATGCAACTCAGTTTCATGTATTCCTCTAATGGTTCAGTATTGCTATGTGTTAGATGTTGACAGTACTACTACTACTAGTACACACTAGAGGTAAATTTCAATCCTTTTCCAATTTTAAGAGTAAAGGGCTTTTCCCCCATACAGGTGCAGAACCCTGCATACATACATAAGTTAATCACACATGACATCTTGCTTTTCTTAAGTTATCCTTCCCAGCCCTTGGAAGTGTCTCACAAACAAAACTGTGGAAAAAAGATGACTTCACCTGGTAATGTAAGAACACAAGTAGAATCAGTTGTTTCTAACAAGTTACTCTATTCTAAAGAGTTACCTCTTGAAAAAAAACTTACACAATGCCTGCAGCTTCTTCACAAAGTCAGTTTGAAGACTTTGTGCCAGAAAGTCATAGTGAACACAATAGTTCCTTTAACATTTTGGGGGGAGGAGGGGGGAAGCTATGGTGAGTAGTTGTGTGCAATTCAAACCCTGTAAGAATAGAAATCAATACTTCTATTGTCTTTTTTATAAAGCAGGTATCTGGAAATGTTGTCCTAATCAATATGAGAACTGATGAGAAGGTACCCATGGCAGGTCTTTTTAAGACATGCTATGGTGAAAATCCTTATTATGGCTAAGGCGATATGTTGAAGTCTGACCAGGTGATGCTGGGTGCTCCTGGGTCACACATTCTTTGGTACAAGACTGGCAAGAGAGCCCACAGTTTGCTTCTAGGGTGACCGTTCAAGAATAAAGGGCTGTTGCCCCTTTCTCGACATTAAAACAGTGGTAATAGTTTTCATCAGAGAGTAAGGTTCAGGAACACAGGCATACTGACATCAAGTACCACGTCACTGTGGAAAATGCTTAGTGAGGTTCTAACTCTAATCTTGACCACAAGAAGGACAGGAAGGTTCAGTACCAAGGCAATCCCTAATAGCCTAGCATTATCTGAGTCATGGAAGAAGATATGGAAACTCATTAAGATTCATGAATGAGAAAGACAAAAACCAGAAATGAGAATGAGCTCTACAGAAAATAAAGCCTACTTCACAGAAAATCAGGCAAGTAGATAGAAATCAGTGGCTCACATTTCTTTCTCTGATTACAAAAATTCTGAAGAAAACAAAAACAACTAAAATGTAGCACTGACCAATCAGAGACATTAATTGAAACCTTGTTTTTCTCAAAAAAAGCTTATGTTTAACCAATTATACTTTTAAATGTCAGTACATTAATAAATTCGTATTATTCAAAGCAAACAAAACTGGAATTAGACAGTGATAAGACCTCCCTCTTGTTCTGGAATTGACTTATCTTTAGGCAT